CTCAACAAAATATTAGTAAATCTACTCCAATAACTTATTAAAAAGATTACTCACCATGATAAAGTGGGATTCATCCCAGGGATGCAAGGATTTTTCAGCATATGCAAGTCAACAAATGTGATACATCACATTACCGAAATGAAGGATAAAAAGCATGTGATCACTTCAACAGACATGTAGAAAGCATCTGTCAAAATTCAAAACCCCTTCATGATAAAACTCTCATTAAATTAGGTATAGAATGAATGTACCTAAACATAGTAAAGGCCATATATGAGAAACGCAAAGCTAACATCACACAGAATGGGGGAAAAGTGAAAAGCTTTTCCTCTAAATCTGAAATAAGAAAGGATGCCCACTTTCACTCCTTCTATTCAACACAGTACTAGAAGTCCCAACAAGAGCAATTAGTCAAGAGAAAGAAATAAAAGACATCCAAATTGGTAAGGAAGAAGTTAAACTGTCCCTACTTGCAGATGACATAATCTTATAGAAGACACTGAAGACTCAAGCCAAAAACTATTAGAACTAGTAAAAAAAATTCAGTAAAGTTGCAGAATATAAAAATCAATATACCAACACCAGTAGTGTTTCTATACACTAACAGCGAACTAATTTGAAAAAGAAGTCAAGAAAACAATCCCACTTACGATAGCTATATAAAAAAATACTGGCTGGGCGCAGTGGCTCATGCCTGTAATCCCAACACTTTGGGAGGCCAAGGTGGGCGGATCACCTGAGGTCAGGAGTTCGAGATCAGCCTGGCCAACATAGCGAAACCCTGTCTCTACTAAAAATATAAAACATTAGCTGGGTGTGCTGGCAGGCTAGGGAGGCTGAGGCAGGAGAATTGCTTGAACCCAGGAGGTGGACATTGCGGTGAGCCGAGATTGCACCAATGCACTCCAGTCTGGGCAACAAGAGCGAAACTCCACCTAAAACACACACACACACACACACACACACACACACACACACACACCCCCCAAAAAAACCCCAAAAAACTTAGGAATAAATTTATCCATGGAGGTGAAAGATCTCTACACTGAAAACTGTAAAACACAGATGAAAGAAATTAAACAAAAAATAAACAGAAATACATCTGTGTTCGTGGATTGGAAGAATTAACACTGTTAAAATATCCATATTGCCAAAAGCAATCGACAGATTCAATGCAATCATTATCAAAATATCAATGACATTCTTCACAGAAATAGAAAAAACAATCCTAAAATTCATGTGGAACCATAAAAGAACTTGAATAGCCAAAGTAATCCTGAGAAAAAATAACAAAGCTAGAGGCATCACACTGTAGCTGAGATCTAACTTGAAAACATACTACAAAGCTACAGTAACTGAAACAGCATCATAGTGGCATTAAAACAGACACACGGATCAATGGACAGTATACAGCCTAGAAATAAATCCATCCATTGAACAGCCAACTGATTTTTGACAACAATGCCAAGAACACACATAGGGAAAGGATAATCTCTTCAATAAATGGTATTGGGAAAACTGGATCTACAAATGCAGAAACATGAAAGTAAATCCTCTCTCTCACCATATACAAAAAAAAATCAACTCAAAATGGATTAAAGACTTAAATATAACACCTGAAAATAAAAATCTAGTAGAAAATGACAAGACAGAAGCCCCATGACATTGGTCTGGGCAATGGCTTTTTGGATATGACCTCAAAAGCATAGGCATCAAAAGCAAACATAGATTAATGGGATTACATTAACCTCAAAAACTTCTGCACAGTAAAGGACATAAGCCTCAGATTAAAGAGGCAACCTATAGAATAGGGGAAAATATTTGTAAACCATATATATTTGATTAATATCCAAAACATATAAGTAACTCAAACAACTCAAGAGCAGGATAATAAATAGCCCTATTAAAAAATGGGCAAAATACCTGAAAAGACATTTCTCAAAATAAGAATTACAAATGGCCAAGAGAGGTACACAAATAAATACTCAGTATCAATAATCATCAAGGAAATATAAATCAAAACCACAGTGAGACACAGCTGTTATAATGGCTTTTATCAGTATGACAAAAGATAATAAATGTGGCAAGGATGTTGGTGGGAATGTAAATTAGAACAGCCATTAGAAAAACAGTATAGAGGTTCCTCAAAAAATTAAAAATAGAACTACCACATGATCCAGCAATCCTACTACTGGGTTTATAACAAAAGGATATGAAATCAGTGTATCAAAGAGATACTTGCACCCCCATGTTCACTGCAACATTATTCACAAGATATGGAATCAATCGAAGTGTGCATCAATGGATGAATGGATAAAGAAAATGTAGTGTACATATACAATGGAATACTATTCAGCTATAAAAAGAAGAAAATCCTGTAATTTGTGACAACAGGGATGAACCTGGAGGACATGATGTTAAGTGAAATCAGCGAGGCACAGAAAGATGGATATTCCATGATTTCGCTCATATGTGGAATCTGAAAAAGTTGATCTCTTAGAAGTAGAGTAGATGGTGGTTACCAGAGGCTGGGGTGGTTAGAAGAAAGGGGGTTTTGGGGAGATGTTGGTCAAAGGATATATAATTACAGTTAGATAGGAGGAATAAGTTTAAGAGATCTGTTGTTCAGCATGGTGACTACAGTTGATTATGATATACTGTGTTATTGAAAAATGCAAAGACAGTGGATGTTAAGTATTCTTATTGCAAAAATAACCATGAGATAATACATTTGTTAATTAGCTAGATTTAACCATTCTATAAAGTATATATTCTATTTACTTCAAAACATCATGCTGTACATACATATGTACCATTTCATCTGTCAACTTTATTTTATTTATTTATTTAATTATTTGTTTTTTTTGAGATGGAGTCTTGCTCTGTTGCCCAGGCTGGAGTGCAGTGGCATGATCTCAGCTCACTGCAAGCTCTGTCTCCTGGGTTCACGCCATTCTCCTGCCTCAGCCTCCCGAGTAGCTGGGACTACAGGTGCCCACCACCACACCCAGCTAATTTTTTGTATTTTTAGTAGAGACGGGGTTTCACCATGTTAGCCAGGATGGTCTTGATCTCCTGACCTCATGATGTACCTGCCTTGGCCTCCCAAAGTGCTGGGATTACAGGCGTGAGCTACCATGCCTGGCCTGTCAACTTTAAAGTGAAAAAAAAAGAAGTTACTAAATGGCAGGACTGGTTCTCTCTGATAGCTCTTTAAAAATATGAAGACAGTGTGTTTTTCCTTAAAGTAATCTTTTCTGGTATCAACTGTAAGTATTCTATGTAGGTCAGTTTCTGGGATACCCTAGTCATCTATGCATGAATTACTTTTACTTTGATCAAGTCCACTCTAAAATGTATTATCCATTTTCAACACACTATTTTAGATATGGACTTAATAGAAAAAATCCAAAGGGCATGAGACTCACCTTCAAGAAGGAAAGAAAAATGGAATAGAACCACATGAACAATTTATATATACATTCAGTACCATTTATATCTATCACATTAAACTTTGACACACATGCCTAGCTACTCTTCCAGAGTGTCCTGTCACTTCTCCACTCACAAGCCTTCAGTGGCTTTCCATTTCATCCAGAGAAAAGCCTGAGCCCTTACAAAGGCCTGCAGGGCCTGTATGCTCTGGCACCCTAGTTCCTTCTGTTCCTCATCTGTTATTCCCTTCATATTCCAAGGCAAGAACCTCTTAGCTCTTCCTTGTGTATCCCAAGCAAGTTCTCGCCTCAGGGTCTTTGTACCTTTTTTCTTTCTCCGACTACAATGATATCCCTCAGCAAACAACTGATGAGCCACTTCCCCATTTCCTTCAGGCCAAATGTCACCTTAGTGAAGCCTACCCTGACTGCCCTATGTGAAACAGCAACTCCAACTTCCCAATATTTCCTGTGCTCCTTTCTTTGCTTTTCTTCACAGTCCTTACTCAATCTAATATATAATTTATCCATCTGTCCATCTATTAATTGATTGATGCCTTTCATCCTCTTGCTGAAATGTAAGCTCCATGAGGATAGGACTTTTTCATGTTTTGCCCACTGCTGTCTAATACTGCCTGGCAAATTAAATGCTGATTATTATTAGCACAGTATCTGACATATAAGCTCTCAATAAATATTAGCTATTATTATTATCACCAAATTATAAGCTTTTAGCAGTTTATTCTGAAAATTACTAAACCATAGGCATACCTGGTAAGACTACAACATACATAAAAATAAGTATCAGAAATTAATAGCCACATAAGAATACAGCACCTTCAAAATATATTTATTCCAGTAGTATTAATAGTCACATAAGAATATAGCACCTTCAAAATATATTTATTCCGATAGTATTTAAATAAAGTACTACATATTCTAGCACCATAAAATTCATTGTGAATTTTGCTTACAAGTCATATATAGTACAGATTAAGTATCCCCATCCAAAATGATGAGGACTAGAAGTATTTTGGATTTTAGAATATTTGCATTACTGCCTGAACATCCCTAATCTGAATATGCAAAATCTGAAATGTTCCAATGAGCACTTCCTTTGTGTGTCATGTTAGCACTCAAAAAGTTTCAGATTTTGGAACATTTCAGATTTCAGATTTTCAGATTAGGGATACACAACCTATATAAAATTTGATTACTTAGCTTAATATCTTTAATTTATATCAGTGGTCCTCAGTCTTGTTTTCCATACTACACTTTGCAGTTCCATTGAGAACAGTTTTCTCTACTACACTTTGCACTCCCATTGAGAACAGTGGCTCAGTAGAACAGTGATTCTCTGCTAAGTAGGGGGAATGTGGTAGGTAGTGGGTAAGGGTGGGTTGTCTTGAGTTGAGAATTACTAGTCCATGTAATGGAAACACATTTTTAAAAAGAGTTGTCATTCAAAGGGAATAAATGAGTTACGTATATTAAAAAAAAAATCAAGTATATGTCACAGATCCATTTCTTAATTTATACCCAAATATATACTTAAAAATCTCTTACAAGTGTGTTTTCTCCATTGGAACTATTCCAGAGCCTCATTCGATTATCTGTACCAACAGTGAGGAGGTGAAGCCCATCACTTGTAAAACATAAGCCATTAACTTTCCCATTATGAGCAGTGTTTGCTGCAATGAAAAATATGGTTCAGTTTATTTGTTCTTGTATTCAGGACCTATTTAATGTTTGATGATATAATTATTTAAACATATTAAAGGACAACTACTTGAGTTACTTAAAAAATGTAAGTAGATTATACTTAAAATTAACCAACCCTTCAGATTATTTGAATAGGATAAACTATATAAATCAGAACCATAAAAATAGAGGAAAACAAGAAAAAAGGGAAAAAATTTCTGCCAAACATACTTTTTTTTTCCAGCAAGGAAGCTGTGCCATGAAATTCAATTAAGTGTGTAGCTTAACACTAAAATTTAAAATTAAATGCCTTTCATCTCTCTTATATTTTTATTGCTAACCTAAAAATAACTCCATGGACTATTAAAATCAGTAATTCTAGTGTTTTCCATTAAAAAAAAAAAAACCTTAATGGGAAGGATGACTGTTGTAGTCTCAAAATTTATATCACTTTCAAAATTAACAAGTTCGAGAAAGCATAATTCTAAAACAGCCTAATTAATTTAAAAACATATAAAACATGTTTTATATAGTTTACATGTTCATAAGGTTTTTTAAAAAAGCCATATAAATTCTAACATATGAAATATATTAGGATGAACTATATAAAACCTATGATTGTTTTATATAGTTTTTTAGTTTAAAAATACATAGTTTTTTAGTTTAAAAACTTAAACAATCATAGGTTTTATATAGTTCATTCTGATATATTTCTGGTCCAGAATTAATTTTATACCAAAATTTCTACATAGGAATTGAATTCTACTGTAAAAATGCAGTTTAGGTACTTTGTCACATGGATTGCAGCTGACTCACAATTAACACAATTTTATGTTGATACAATGGCCACAAAATGTTACTATTTCTGTAATTTATTGTGACTTTTTAAATGGCATTGAATTTGTATAGTTGGCCTCAATGGAGCAAAAACAAAATAAGTAAAGCAAGTTAATTCAGAAAAATTTCTACTTTTGAAAATTTGGGGGCAAATGAAACTGCCATTTTTATTTGTATCTTACAGAAAGAGAATCATAAGTTTTTTTTTACATAAATTAAGAAAGTGATATATGATGAATGCCTTTTTAAAAAATGATAAAGTTCGCAATTTGTCAATATGCATTTATTATTTGGCTTCAATTAAAAATGTTCAATGTGAAAAAATACTATCATTGTCATATTTCTTCATTAACGTGTTCTTCCTTACCTGATTCAACAGCTTGTGACTTTTTCCCATTATGTTGATCAAGAGTAATCAAACATCCTGATGCTCTTCTCACATCCCATAATTTTACTCTACTGTCAGCACTGAGAATAAATAAATGTTACATTGACATATGTAGCTAGGACAATGACTGTACCCCTCACCCACCTTTCTAGTTTTACGGCACACAGAGGTTTTGTTATATAGGTACGTATGTACTCATACATTAGGGTTGTTGAACTTTCGCCTTTTCAGCAAATATTCAATAGTCAACAGTAGCTCAAATTAGTGAGTAAATAGCAAAAAAAAAAAAAAAAAAAAAGGTAACCTTTCTTTTCCAGATACCAAGCACAAAATTTTGCTACTTTTTATACCGTTTTAAATTACATGAGCATCTTTTCTCCCAAGGACCAGAAAGGCTTGTAGCTTGTCCCTAGTAAGTTCCTTACCATACCTTCTCTACTGCTTGTTATCCAAATGCTGTCAAGACAAGCAGTTAACTAATTTTATTTTGCTCAAGAATCTATTTGCTATGATTTGGTGTTTTTTTCCTTTTTATATAAAAAACGGTAAGAGTAAGGTGAATAATGAGGACAATGCATTTGCATTTGGTTTCCTATACTCAAATCAATCTTTGCCATATATGTGAGAACTATATTGAATGTTGCCTAGAAATTAAACACTTACTTCTATTTTCTTTCAAGTAAGCGAAAAGAAGAAAAGTAAATCTATGATCAGACATCTATTTCAGCTTCTAGATTATTTCTAAAGAAAAATGCCCGGCAATCCGATGTGCTCCTAATCAGTTCCACTGATGCTATCATGTCCTCACAAGGACCTCAACAATATTGTAACCCAGGGGGCTATTCAATGTCATTTTAATGAGAGAGCACTACATTACATTTTTATAAGCCTATTTTTTATTTATAAGTTTTAAAAAAATATACACACAGGGTGTACTGGTTTCTATAATCTCTATTCTTTTCACAGATGATCATCAAACCTAGCCAACTGGAATAGTCAGCAAAAAGCTAGCATTTCCCATTCTTAAGTTGGTTTTCTTTCTTTCCAGGTGAGGGAAACGAAATCAGTATGAGGATTTACGTTTCTTCTGAAACAGATAAGATTTGAACATATCCAACTTTTAACACTGATTACTAGGTCCATTCTGGTACTGATTCAAATTTCTGGAGTATTCTTATAATTGAAAGCTTCTTAGCTCTCCTCTTATCTGATGAAAACCAAGTTAAGCATGAAAAATGTAAAATCCACCCAAGCATAACCAGCACCTAGTTCCTAACCTTCATACCTCTTTAGCTAGTCTTCTTATGGCTACATTATAGACCTTGCTGCACTTTAGAAATGGTAAATTTCAACATCACATTCTGCCAATTATTAACAGAAGCTTCTTTGGGGGCCTAAACTGTGGCAGGGAGCGAGGGCTGGAAACTTAAAAAAAATCCAGACACAGATCTTTATAAAATTAATATGAATAGCTTTTGTAATAATTCTTCTTCTACTTAAAACTTTATGAAAATATATCAAAATATTTGATTACTACTTCCTATCCCTTCAGTTTTTAAGTTTTCTTAGTCTAACTCTCCTACTTCATTACATCCTTGATCCTTTCTACAAGTCTTTTTGTGATTTTATTTTTTTCCTTTTACTCACGACTTCTAAATTTTCAGGCACTGAGGTACTTTCCTTTAGACACTGAAAATTGTTAAGCCTCTTTCATTTAATGTTTTAATTTCTGTGGCTTATTACAGCTGTGCTCTACATCTTCAACTGAAAACTGCCCAGTAATCCTACGTGCCCTTAATCAGCTCCCTCACTCTTTCAATCTATTATTCCAGATCCATACTATCTTTCCTCAAAATTGCATCCTCATTCCTATATTTTCAAGAGGTGACATCAAGTCCTACTCCACTAAAAACCGAGAAGCCATTAAGTCTGAATTTCTTGAGCTTCTCTGCCAAAGCTACAAACTTAACTGTATCCACGTTCACCTTTTCCTTTTTCCATTTAGTCTCACAGTGCTCTTCATGTGCCAAACTAGGTGTCCCCTCCACCCTCATCTGGATCCTCGATACTAACCACTTCTGTGTATTTGAGGACCTAATGCACCAATTATTCCCTCCATTTCTTATCTTCACCTGTTTCTCTCTACTGGTACTCTTTCCCCAGCATATAAATATGCAATACTCTTTTTTCTCCAGCAAACAAATAAACCTCCCCACATCTTTTGATCCTCTCAGAGTTAAGTGATCCTGTTTTCTTTTCCTATATTACTCCTTCTAGAGATGTACCTCTATTAAAGCATTTTTCAGGATGCCCCGTAATCACTGATTTTTGACTATATGCCCCATTAGATCATTAGATTGTTGGCTTTTCGAAGCCTTAGTTACCTGTGTCCCTAGCACAACGCTTGGCATGTGGGAGGAAGTCATTAAATATCAGAAAATTGAATCAATTAATGTGTGGATATATCACATTCAAAAGAATTCCAGGTTAAAGATAATGCATAAAAATGCTCTATTTAAAAATTTGCAGTGTTATACTTTTGTGTGTAAGAATGACACAACACAGTTCCTCTGTGTTCTAAGGTGAAACACCTTGAAAGTGGATAGGATTAGAATTAGAATACAAAGGAAGACTTCTTTTGGTGACATGAATTAAAATTTCTAACTCAAGACTTCATTTTAAAGGAGTGAATTAATAATTAAATATGCTAAAATATACATTACATAAATGTAGACTTTTCAAAATGCTTATTCTTAATTACTAACTTCAAAAGCAAATAATTTTACCTTGCCGTTGCCAAGATATAGTCATAACGTGGCGACCAGGAAACTGCTAATATTTCTTGTCTGTGACCTGCAAATACAACTATATGAAAAGTCTTGCAAGATATCCGAAAAATCAGAAGATAAAGTGCCAATAATTTTGCCTGATTCTGAAGAAAGTGAGGCTAAACACTCAATGTGAATAGATATGGTCATTTCTCAGATTTATAATAATTGACATTTCAATGCTAATGTGGAGTTTACAGGAGGATTTCTAACACATGGTATTTTATTGTAAAAGAACTAGTTTTGCTTTGGAAAAAACGGAGTTAAGTAAGTCTTTCTTTTTAAATACGGTAGTTAGCCTATGGCAGTAAATCCATATAACTCAAGCTCAGTTACTGTAATAAAATATACAAGATAAACATTTTAAAGGATAAAAATGTTTCCCAATTTCTCGTAAAGTTATGAGAAAATTACTTTAATTCATGATTGTAGAAAAGCATTTATATAAAATGTTTTTTTTCTAGAAAGCACAGGTGATAAGTTCAAAGGGTGATTTCAATATTTTAATTCACTTTTACCTAACTGAACTATTCACATAAGACATTTCCATCTGCTCAGCTTATATTAATAAAAATTCATAATAATGTCAAAAATGCTACCCATCTCACCAACTTTTCTTAATATATTTGTTATATGTTTCTTTGAGATGACTAAAAATATATAAATTATATTCTATCTTTTCATTGTTTAGAATTAGACAATCTAATACTGATAAAAGTAGCAAGAATAATTTAAATACACCTTTACCAAAGAATTACTTCAATATATTTTTCTAAAATGTTTTTACTGAGAAAAAATGTACCTAAATATTAAGAACAATATTTACTCATTAGCCAGAATATTAAATAATACATGAGACAAATACACTGATGTGAGTTGCGTTAGTTTTTTTAAATGTAGAAATAACACAAGGTTTTGAGTTAGAACTATTTTTCATATCATTTGAGCTTCCCCAATGACCACTGTTCACATAAATGTCTTTTCAGTGGTTCAGTTTTATAAGAATAATGCACGGAAGGATCTTTATTTCTCTGCTGACTTTTAACAACTAGCACAAAGTACATCAGTCATGTCACTTACAAAGAATACATTGTTAGTAACGTTTCTTTTTATTGAATTGTTTACTCAAAGTAGTTGCTGTTTGAAATAAAATAAAAATACCCTGTAGAATGTGAGAACAGGATCCAGACTTCAAGTCACAAAGTTGTACTTTGGGTGCTCTAGTACCAACTGTAAAAACAGAACCGGTTTAATTTTATCATAAGTCATCATCAAAAGGAAACAAGACATTATCATTAGTAATCATGACATTTTCACTGTATCCATGCAGAAATATAAAGATATATGCCAAAAATACATTGTCATTTTTAATGTTTACATTTAGAAAAGTTATTTTAACTACAGTTATATTTTAGTAGTAAGAGACCTCTATTATTCCATTTATTTTTTATTCTGAAATAATTATAGATTTGCAAGCAGTTGCAAAGCTAGTATAAAGAGAACTGTGTACCCTTCACTAGGTTTCCCCAACGATTATGTGTGAGCTTACTAAAACACAGTATCAAACCCAGGAAATTTATATTGGTAAATGTGTACGTATGTATGTATAGTTCTACTCCATTTTATCACATCAAATCATTGTATTTTAAAAGCTTAGTTTTTCCAAGTTAATGATATACTTCCAATCACTAGTAATAGATTCACGAAAACTCTGGACACAGACTGAAAGGACCTCAAAGACAACTTAGTTCCTAGCTCTTCTTTACAGATAAAAGAGCTGACTGATATCCAGAGGCAGAGACTCACGTGATGCCACAGAAATAATGAATCACAGGGCCCAGATACCTGATACCAGAAAATCATTCTTTCTCCCTTATAATATGAAGATGTTTGTTGCAGTTGCTTTTATATAAATTGATGCTTAATTTGAATCACAATCTTAGAGAAAGAAATAATTTTCTTGTTTTATTGTGTCAAATTGGGAAAGTTGCCAAATTTTATTCATGTAAAATCTCTGAAACTTCGGTGGTTTAAAAGGAACTCTTTAGAGGACAGAAATATGCTCTTATTCTCTGAACCCTGGCCGCTAGCATAGTGCTTGCCTTGTACAATATCTGTTGAACTGAATATAAATAGTACATATATATATATAAAGAATTGTGATATTCCTGTGGGTTAAAATGTCTACATCAAAACTAACTAGAAATAAAAAGGGAGAAAGTTTTCAATATTTCAAAAGACAAAAGAATACACTCACAAACCTGCTACCAAACAGTGCTTGGTGGAGACTGGAGACATATGATGACTATAAACTGTTTCCTCAAAATTAAATACATCTGCAGTCTGGTAATCAAAAGACATTAAAAAAGTATAAGGTTTAAGTAAAAAAGCACTAAGATTTCTATTTACTTTTCCCTAAATTTGTAGCTATTTTTAAATTGACTGTTAGCAATTCAACTTAAACATAGGAATGTAATACCCCAAAAAACCTTGATAATTTGAAATCCTGTCATTTACCACATTCTTTTCCCTTCTATGAGAAAAAAATGTGTTTTCCCAATAAATCCCACAAGTTAAGAAAATACAAGCACGTGCCTCTCCATATTCCATATTCCTGGTGGGGAGAGAGCTCAGCATCTACATGGATGATGTAGTCAGCACTGCATCTCAGTTCCATATAACCTGAGCTACCACACCCAGGACACTGTCACTACCTAGAATTGCTCCTTCTTTGAAATCATACATTTCAGTTATCTATGACCACAGTCTTCTATAATTTTCAGCTTTTCCCCACCAAATACTCTCAAGAAATCCAAATAAACTCTGGAACCCCTATCAGTTCCTTTCATCTACTTCTCTTCCTCTCCAGCTTGGATTTCAAAGTCCAATACCAATACCAAAGTCAACTGCCAATATCTGCAGTTCCTTTGCTAATATCCTTCCATTTGTCAAGACTTCAAGCCTGGGCGACTCCAAATGTCTGCCTTCTCTGTACTTATATCCAAATTGACCTACATTAGGGGTTGGCAAACTTTCTGTAAAAGTCAGATGGTAAATATTTTAGGCTTTCAGGACCAACTACTCATCTCTGTCACTGCAGTGTTAAAGCAGTCATAGACAATAAATGAACATATTGTAACTGCTCACCAGGTTCTTTCTGCCTGCTGCACAAACAAAACCAATTCACAAAGACCATGGCACTGCAGTAAAGAGTTTAACTGATGCAAGGCTGGCCGTGCCAAGTGGGAGATGGGATTTATTAACATTAATCAATCTCCTTGAAGTCTTGTAGGTTAGGGGTTTTTCAAAGGTAGTTTGAGGGAACGGGTGGGAGTGGTTAGGCAATGAATGGGTGCTTGCTGTTGACTGGTTGGGGGTGCAACCATAAGGGTATGGGGAATGGCCCTCTTGTCCACTGAGCCACTTTTGGGTGGGGCCACAGGGGCAGTTGGTAGGTCCAGGTGGTGCCACTGGTGTCAGATATGAAAAAATCCTGAAAAGATATCTCAAAAGGCCAATCTTAGGTTCTGCAGTTGTGATGTTATATACAGGAGTAATTGGGGAAGTTATATATCTTGTGACCTCTGGAATAATGGCTGGCAATCATTTATGTCTCTTTATTTATTTATTTATCTATTTTTAAGACCAGGTTATGAGACTGGCTAATTTTTGTATTTTTGGTAGAGATGGGGTTTTGCCATGTTGCCCAGGCTGGTCTCGAACTCCTGGGCTCAAGCAATCCACCCTCCTTGGCCTCCCAAAGTGTTGGGATTACAGGTGTGAGCCACTGCTGAGCCTATATCTTAGCAGAATTCAGGCTCCTCTCCTCCTCCTAGTCTGGTGGTCTCTCATTAGCTTTACAAAGGTGGCTGAGTTTTTGGAGAAGGGCTATTATCATTTAAACTATAAAATGGCTGGGGGCAGTGGCTCACTCCTGTAATCCCAGTACTTTGGAAGGCCAAGGTAGGTGGATCACTTGAGGTCAGGAGTATGAGACAAGCCTGGCCAACATGGTGAAACTCTACTTAAAATACAAAAATTAGCTGGTCATGGTGGCGGGCAGCTGTAACGCCAGCTATATGAGAGGCTGAGGCAGGAGAATCGCTTGAACCCGGGAGGCAGAGGTTGCAGTGAGCTAAGATCACGCCATTACACTCCAGCCTGGGCAACAGAGTGAACCTCTGTTTCAAAAATAAATAAATAAGTAAATAAAATTAAAAAATAGAGTATTAACTAAATGTCTTCCAATGTTAGCTTGGCCAAAGTCCAGGAATAATTAAGGCAGCTTGAAGGCTAAAGGCAAGAGGGGGTGTTGGCTAGATCAGATCTCCCCTACTGCCACAATTTTCTCACTGATATAATTTTTGCAAAGGCAGCTTCAATATTTGTGTCTAAAACCTACTTTATTTACAAAAAAAGGCCATGAGCCAGACTTGCCCATGAGCCCAGAGTTGGCCAATCCCTTGCTCTACCCAGGTAAAAAATCTTACAATTAGGGCAGTGTGACATCACTATAAAAGAATATTCATTTCCTCTGGATTTCAGTAATGACCGCCAGTCCCACTATATTTCACTAGTATTCTTCTCTGCAGTATTCCTCAGCTATTTCAAATCTTTTCCACAAATATACCCACTCAGTCACAACAGGTAATCTGATCTTTTATTTCAAGGAGAAAATAGGAGGCACTCAATCAGAATTTCCTTAATGTCTTACCAACAAACCTACAAACACATTTACTTCCACTTATCCTTTTTCCTTCTTCACTCCTGTTATCATAGAAACATGATTCCTCAACCCTGCCTTTTTTTTTTTTTGAGATGGAGTCTTGCTCTGTTGCCCAGGCTGGAGTGCAGTGGCACAATCTCAGCTCATTGCAACCTCCGCCTCCCGGGTTCAAGTGATTCTCCTACCTCAGCCTTCCGAGCAGCTGGGACTACAGGTGCCCGCCACGATGCTCAGCTAATTTTTGTATTTTTAGTAGAGATGGAGTTTCACCATATTGGCCAGGCTGGTCTTCAGATTCCTCCCCATTTTTAATGTTAATCCCCCTACTTGTGTTCAGATTCCCTTCAGCACTGTCAGAAATCGCACCCTATAGATTATCTTCTGGGTATTTATAACCTCTGTCCCCACTGGCTCATTCTCAACAGCACTAAAAGTTCAAGTCTTTTTCATCTTAACACCCCTTCCCTAAGACAAAAACAAAGAGCCTTTTCACCCTACGTTCTCCCTAATCTTTCCTCCTCTTCAAATCCAAACTTTGGCTATCTCTAATTCCTTATCTCCCATGTATTTCTCAACTAATTGCAATCTTATTTTTATTGCACTACTCTAAATCATACTACTCTTCCAATATTACCAATAACCTCCTCATCTGATTTAATCTGTTCGTAGCATTCAACACAGCTGATTACTCCCATCTTCTTTAAAGCAATCTTTTACTGGCTTCCATTGTATCATATATTCCTGATTTTCCTTTCTCTCCTTGGCTACATCTTTTCATCACCTATAGCAGAGTTTGGTTTCCTTTTTCTGTCCTATTTATCTTTGTCTTCAAGGTTTTGTTCTATGCACCCCTTTCAACTGCCACTTGTATGTTATGGGTTAAGTATCCCTTATCCAAAGTAACTGGTACCAGAAATGTTTCAGATTTCAGATTTTTTTTGGTTTTGGAATGTTTGCATTATACTTATTGGTTGAGCATTCCAAATCTAGAACTCAAAAAAACTTCAAATTTTGAACTTCTGGATTAGGGACACTCAATATGTAGTGAGGCACAAATCTGTATACTCAGTGTAGACCTCACTCCTGAATTCTGCGTATGTATAGATCGATTCCTGGATTATCTTCATTTGGATTTCCCGTAAATCCCTCAAACTCAACAAATCAAAAATTGAACTCATCATTCCAACCCTTCCCTATCTTAGTAAATAACAATATAATCCACCCAATTGCAAAGCCAGAGAACCTGGGATCATTCCTATATATATATATGCGCATATATATATATAAATATATTCCTATATATATATATAAATAATGGCTTTGTCAAGATAAAATTCACATATCATACACCTTGGAACCCATAAAAAGTATCACTAGTGATGCTGCAAGTGGTCCCAAGAAGCAGAGAAAAGTCATGACATTACAAGAACAGGCTGAACTGCTTGACATGTACCATAGATTGAGGTGTGCAGCTGTGGTTGCCCACCATTTCAAGATAAATGAGTCCAGCATAAGAACCATTGTAAAAAAAGAAAATTTGTGATGATGTCACTGCAGCTATGCCAGCAGATGTGAAAACCTTGTATGTTTTGTAAAATACCTTTGACCTCTTATTGAGAATCCAACTTTTATGGGGGTGCAGGATTGTTAAAAGAAAGGCATATCGATATATAGACTCTAATATGACTTTTAAAAAGCAAAGTCAATATAGTCATTATATGACAATGTGAAGCCAAAGGAAAGTGAAGGATCTAAAGCTGGAGAATTTAATGCCAGAAAAAGATGGTTTGATAATTTTGGAAAGAGGTTTGGCTTTAAAAAAGTCAAGATAATAGGATAAGAAGCTTCTGCCCACCAAAAGGCAACAGGTGAGTTTCCAGATATCATTAAGAAAATCATCGAGGACAAAGGATATCTGCCTGAACAAGTTTTAAATGTAGACAAAAATGCCCTATTCTGGGAAAAAAAAAAAAAAATCCACAAAGGACTTTTATGATATGGACCCTTCGATGATATGGGCTCTGAAACTAAAGCAAATAGTGGAAGAAGGATCAGTACTGTAACAGAAACATTTTTAGAGAAATAAAGCAGAACACACAGAAATTACGACGTATTTCCATAGTTATACCAAGTGTGCCTGCCTTTCCTTCCAAATCTTCTTACACCTTTTGCTACCCTACAGACAGCAAGGTCAACCCCTCCTCTTCCTGCTGCTTCTCCTCAGTCTACTCAATGTGAAGATGATGAGGATAAAGACCTTTATGATGATCCACTTCCACTGACTTAGTAAATATATTTTTCTTCCTCATGATTTTCTTAATAACATTTTCTTTTCTCCAGCTTATTTTATTGTAACAATACAGTATATAGGCCAGGCGTGGTGGCTCACGCCTGTAATCCCAGCACTTTGAGAGGTTGAGGTGGGTGGATCAACTGAGGTCAGGAGTTCAAGACCAGCCTGGCCAACATGGTGAAACCCTGTCTCTACTAAAAATACAAAAATTAGCCAGGCATGGTGGCACACACCTGTTGTCCCAGCTACTTGGGAGCTGTCTCTTATACACATCTAGATGTGTATAAGAGACAGCACCAGCACCATTTATTAAATAGGGAATCC